CAGGGCTGACTCACCCTCTTGCCCTTCTCTCCCGCCAGCCCCATGGGACCCTGGAAGCCAGTGGAGCCCTAAGGAGAGAGGGAACAAGTGATAGCCCAGGGGTGACGAGGCACCTGGGGTCCCAGGGATACCCCAAAGGCTCCCCCGTGCTCACCTTGGGGCCCTGGCGCCCAGGATAGCCCGGGAGACCCGGCACTCCCAGCTTGCCCTGCAAGAGAGAGAGCAGAGCTGAGCTGCGGGCTACGAGGGACGCAGGGACGGGGACGCAGGGACACAGGGATCCCCTCACCTTTTCACCTGCGGGGCCAGGAGCGCCTGGTTCCCCCATGGGACCCGTCTGCCCCTTCAGCCCCTCGGGGCCGTCCTCGCCGCGGGGGCCCAGCAGGCCCTGGTCACCCTGGAACAGAAACATGGAGGTGCGGGGAGCACGCTGCCCAGCGGGGGACGGGGCTACTCCCTCGGGTGCCCCCAGACAGAGCTGTGTGTCCCCCTCGGCTCCATCTCCTCACCACATGACCCCGAATCCTGCAGCCAGCCAGCAAAACCCCACGGGGCTTCGCAGCACCCGCAGCCGCCCCACACAGCTCTGACGAGGAGACCCCCCCTGACTGCACCCCAGGACCCCACTTACCCTGTCGCCCTTGGGGCCCATGTCCCCCTTAAAGCCGGGGAATCCATCTTCTCCCTGAACAAGAGGTACGTTTGGAGGGGCTGAGACTGTGTTAGCTCTGGTGCAAACCCCAGATGGGGTCACAGTGCGGGGCTGAGCCCCAAATCCCAACACAAAAGGGCTGGCCCCAGCTGCAGCCCAGGCGTCCCCCCACCCACAGCTGTCTTGGGGCATGGACAAGTGCCCCCCCCAACACCAGGGACCCACAAACAAGGACCCCATCCCCTGCTGCCCCCTCTCCCTGACACCTCTTACCTTCTCCCCTTTGCTGCCCTTCAGGCCCCGCACGCCAAAAGCTCCCTGCAGAGATACAGAGGGGTTGGAGGGAGGAGCCCAGCCCGGGGGACACCGCCTGACCCCCCCATCACACTTCGGCAGAGGGGGAGGCTGTGATTACCTTCACCCCGCGGGGTCCCGGGTCGACGACGGGGACA